ATGGTCAGACCATATCGCAGGTAAAGTATCAATTTTAACAATCCGATTACATAGGGATGCCGAAACCAAGAACATGTCGATCCTTGAAGAATGATAGATTTTAAAGGTTTTCTCCCCACTGGATAAAACTACAAGATGTTTTGCCATCTTTTTTCCACATTTCAGAACTTGTTTTTGATGAAAAATTCATTTTGGTCAAAACCTTTTTTTGTTTTGTGTTTTGTTCAAAACCACTATTTGTGCAGAAAACCATATCTTTGAGCAAATGATACTGTTATCTGTGCAAATATGTTGGGCTTTGTTTAAAACCAAGGTTTTTTGTGCAACAAATTTTTCAACAAAGAAGTCCAAAATACAAAAAAATCTTATAGGGGCACACCATTTTCTAAGATGCTCATTCTTATCAAGGACAAGAAAAATTGCACATATTTCTTTTAAACCTGTGTAGCAGATAGGGAACAACTTGTGGAAAGGGCAAACATGAACTGATAGAATAAAGAAGAGAAGGTTCCACTCACCCCAAAGACAGCCCAGAAGAAGAAGATTTATTGCCATATCTCACAATGCTCCAAAGAGGAGAGACTCCAAACAGCCAGAACCTTAAATAGATGATTCTTCACTTTGCTTGGACATTTGGGTTGTGGCTTGGTCTTTGGGCATTACTTCTGCAGGTTATTGTCACAGATAAACGTTAGGAAATAACAGACTAGAAAAAAACAATTTGAAACTGGAAGGAAGTTTCTGGAAGGAAACTGGGAGGAAACTGGAAGAAACTTAAAGGCCTACTTACAAGAAGTTGCAATTTTCTGGACTGCTAATTTTGATATTTAACTTTCAGTTCCCTAAAAGGGTTGGTTTTACTGTAACTTTACCTTAGGGTCACTGGAGAGAATTCCTGTAAGCACAGTTTGGGTTTAATTTGGGTCAGGGTTTAGTCCTATAGCTTTTCTTCAACAGGGAAGTTCTACTCAACAATATGGGAAGGAACAACAGAGATATCTCTTCTTCCCTATGGATGTTACGGGGGAAATCTATAGGTTATCCCACACAAATCCCCCCCCCCAAAAAGCGCACTTATGCCTAACGATTTCACACGACGTTGCACAGAAACTGACATTAAAGTGGTCACAAAGTGGTGTTATCCGAGATCTTTTTATTTTCGGGAGTGCATTTGCGCATTTGCGCTTTTAAAGTAATTGCGTATTTACTGTAGTGTGAAATTCAAATTCGCACAAACAAATCTCCTTT